ATTATTTTTAACTTTAGAGGGCTAACAAAAATATTTCCTTGACATCCATTCTTTTTAATATTCCATTTATTCTTTCTTTAGATTACAAAAAAAATAATAATTTTGCAATAATGATAATAAAGAACGAAAATTAATTTTTGAAGCATACATTATCACTTCTTCTGGTGATAATAACAAAATAATTCACTATAAAAGTAGACGAACGAGGGTAAAGGATTTGTACTCATAGCACTTCTTTCAAAAGTTATGAATTTTTTTGTTTCCTCGGAAAACAGGTACAAAAACACTAAAATTTTTGTATCTCGATAAAAACAGCGAATTTGAGTTGAAATGATTGTTCTAACAGTCTATTAATATCTTAGAAAGAATCAGCGTTTCAGCCTCTCTAGCAAATGATCTATTGAAATTGTTTTTTAAAGAAAACATGTTTTCCGAATAATTCATTTTTCTTTTCTTATGGTTAATCATCTGTTGCCCTGTTAATGTTTCTGATGGACAACCTATCTTCGTGCTCGCTATAATTTATTCATTTCGGCGATGTAATTGATTCTCTATGTGAATAACAGTTATTCCATTTATTGTAATGGTTTGGTAAGACTGTTGGTCGGTCTTTGTACTTGTTTTCCCAGCGAAATAAAAAAATTCATAACTCTTGAAATTGTGCCTTTTAGGGTTTTAACTGAGACACTTTCCTCTATCAACTAGCATAAGATCATTGAAAAGGGAGTTTGATACCTGGGAAGATTCCCTTATAAGTACCCATGTAAAAACGATCCAATTTTTATAGTCATTTATCTAGATTAAGCTCCACATATATCTAGATACACGTGCATCTGAATCTAGATAAACGACCCAAAAAATTGGTTTTGCATGGGTAGTCAGGAACAAACACACTAGCAAATTAAACGACTAGGAGCATGATACATTATAATACATTAATAAGAAAAGATCACACAAAGTATGTCATATTCTAATAAAATTGACATTTTACATAGTTTTATTTTTATTTTTATATAGAAATTTTTCTAAGATAACATTGTTCATTTTACAGAAAGAAAAAAATCGGACAAAAAATTTAAAAATAAGATATTCTGAAACAGAAGAAAATCGAAAGTTATTTACATATTTCTAAAGATCACACATTTATTTATAATAATAATAATAATAATGTCGTCGTCCTCAACGCCTATTGAATATCTCATTATCGATTTCCTAATAATAATAATAAGTTTTTTCGCTATAATCTTCTCGTTATATATTGTTTTAATTATTTTATTTAATAAACGATTAAGAAAAGAAATTTCTATTATATTGATTTGTAATTCATGTATAGTTTCTGCATATTTATCATTACTATTATTCATAGGTTATATATATGTTTTTTACAACGATTTTATGAAACGTAAGTTGTTAACGAGCTTTGTTAAATGAAATTTAAGTAAAAAACAAAATAAAATGTGCCAGGCTTTTGAAAATCACTTTTTAACGCATGTGCAGCCTGCCGCTATGAAAGTCCTCTGTGATTCAAATAAATAGCATATCCGTAATCAGCATATAAAAAACTGAACCGAACTATGTAATCTTTTAACCGTTTTGAAAAAAGCTTTTTCATCAAAATGTTTAGCTCAGTAGGAGAGAAGGATCGACTTCAGACAGAAGTAAGTTAGAAGCTGAAAGATCCACTGATTTATAATGACTGATGAGATTTAAAAACATAATAAAAGCTGTAAATCACGCTTCCGAACAAACTGAACCCGGTGCTATAATTAGACGTGTTAGCAGGTACGCGGCGCCGCTGCCGATAAAATTCAAAAGAATCACGTCCCCCCTCCGAAGCCGGTAAAATAATTTTTTGACTCGTCGCCGCTGATCAGGTAACATTTTAGCTACAAAATTTTTGGAAAACTAATTTTTGCGAAACATTTTGAGAAAAATTCACGCCGCCGGCGCCGCCGACCGACTAAATTTTTTTCACGCCGCCGCCGATCATTTTGTCGGCTAACATGTTTGGTCGTAATAGAACGACATGTTGTTCTATTTTATCCAGCACAACAATAGAAGGTTGTTGAGGTGTTAATGACCCATGTTAACTTGGTAAAAAGATTAGAGTTAAGAGTTGAAAAAACTCTCTCGACACAACAGACAAAGCAAATCAGGCAAATTATTTTTCGTCCGCTGAGCGACATGTTCTAATACGTCTCATATGTCAAAGTTTTTAGGATGTCCGTCTGTTGTGTCGGTGGGTTTACTTTCATGTTTCGGCATATTGTCACGGAGGTCCTAAATTTCACGATGAAAATGTTTTTTGTCAAAAACGGTTAAAATATGTGCATAGTTCGGCTGAGTTTTTGATTATTGGAGTTAAAAATCAACATTTCTTGAACAATCGACCACATATTGATAAAAAACCGTGAGTTTTAGAGCTACTCGTAAGATGGGATTCGAGCCCCCTGGGCATGAAGGTGCTGTTTTTTCCTATCGATTATACATATGCTAATAGCTTATAAAAATGCTATTGCTTCGGGTAAAAATTAGAGCGAACAAGAGTAAAGTGAAAAAATAATTGCGGACAGGACTAGATCATATAATATGATGGTTCTTGAAAAGTATATTTGCTGTAATTTTTTTTTCTTATGTTCGATAAAGAAGTTTTCTATATATTCTTAAAGCACTTTTCAAGTGCTGTCTGCTGCTGACATATAAATCATTGAATTTCCATTGATTTTGACGGTGAAAATTAATACATAACTGCCACGTAGCAAAGGCTATAAAAATCGAGACTTTGATTGGCTAACCGCGCGCTGGCGTCCTACGGGAGTGAAGGGAACGCCGCTTCAGATATCAGAAACTGACTGAAAATATGCTTTTTGTTCATAAAATAGTTTGTTTTCTGTTTTTCGTGTGCAGGTAATGTGTCACACAACATCACCACTAATAATACAACTGATTTTAACATCAAACAATGCCAGTTACGTGGATATTGTTTAGTGAGTTCCATATCATGTGTCTATATATCATTTGATTTACAAGCCATTTATCGTTTATGTCGTATTGTATTTTATAAAAGATCATATTATCATAAAAGTGTAACATTTTATTTTACATTAATCTGTTTAAATTGGATATATAGTTTTTTAAGGTAAATCGAAGGGCTGACATTTTCGTAGTAGGAAATACTGCCTCATACTCACCACGTATCATGTACCTTGTGCCTTAATTCGTCACTCGAATGATTGCGTAACAGATCTTTTGAAGTAACAGTTTTTCTAGTTTTCCCTATTGTCTAAAATTATGAAGACGATCACGCATCAGTGGGAGATTAAGGCACGAGGTAGCGCATGTGGGATGATAAACGATAGGTGACGCGTGTGAGTCGGTGTTCTTACAAAAAAAGTTTTCATTGATTATTTTTTTTAAGTGTATTGATGTTTTATTTGTTTGGATGGATTGAATACCTCGGTGAAAATGAATATTTCTGTGGAATCAATTTTATAAATACAGTTCATTCAGCTGTTATAGCCATAATTGTCTACGGTATGCCACTGAGTTTCTTAGCTGTAATTTATCTACGGATATCGCAATCTGTTCGTACAGCAACACCAACAGTATTAACCGCACAACGTCGCATGCATATAAAACGTCATATAGAAATGTTAAAACGTCTTCTAATACCAGTTTTTATTTTATTGGCACTGGGTATGCCAAGTATTTTATTTGCGATATTAGCAGACAAAGAAAATAATGGTACAATCAATTACTTATGTTATCGGGTGTCGTACTTTTTCATTTCATTATCGGCGAACATTATGCCTATAGCTATTATTCTGCTAACACCAAATATAAAAGCAATAAATATATTTAGAAGAAGGAGACGAAATGTCGTTTCAGTAACTGTACTGGCCACCCAAACTGCTGCTGCTCCTACTTTGAATCTAGATGGTGATAAACAGCAGCCATTACCGCAGAATCATCGAATAATACAACAACAACAACAGTAGCAGCAAATGACTATAGTAGTACAATAAAGGACTGGTAAAAGGATGTACTGAGTGTAATACTGTTTTCAATGTAACAGAAAAATTTTGAGAAAAATCAAATTTAAGAATGTAAATCGATGAACTGTCTATAGCCAACGTTAATTAGGATTAGTTAATGATTAATCTATGTCCCAGCACAACTTTTTCTAAAATATCTTAAATGTGATCATAAATAAAAGTGATTCGCGATCAGAGCACACTAGAATCACGTTTTTATAATTAGTTTTGACTAAACAATTCTTCTTCTAATCTTCTAAACGCCCTAAAAACCTGATTTTTCTGAAATTCTGCTATTTCAATGACATGTAAGAATCAAAAAGGATTCCAATGACTCCAATTCGTAGAGTAAATATTCTGGTTAAAATGAGACATCTCCCAGCACCAAGCAATTTACCTACGTGATAAACACTGTCGGAAAGATTTCTCCATCAGATTTAGCGCTAGAGAGCTCGAATTGATCTTAAATTGAAGATAAGACTTTTGGGACCAATGTAACAGAGCCCAATTTTGGATTTAGGCCGTAAGCCTTTTACGTTGCTGAAAGTTATACGCCAGTTTTTGCGCATACACTTTACATGTTACTTCGTCTTGTTTGCATTGATTCTGAAATGTCCAATGCCACAACATTTTGAACAAATTAATACTTTAGCTTGGCCAAGATATTCTTTACATTGATACAGAATATGATTGATTAGCATTGCCTCACGACTCAATACCGTATCTCTTGTTTTATCTGATCTGAATTCAATTTTCACTAATTTTGTGTCTAAATTGCGTTCTCTATTTTTTAACCTAATTACATTTTCAACTTCAGGGTAATCATTTTTTATATCCAAACCTAAATCCTCGATCTCAGTTTTATACAGTACATTCAGCAATACCACAGATAATTGTGGTGGAAGAAATGGCTTGAATGGTATTGTAAATACCGCACCACACAGTCGACTCGGCCAAGCATTATCATCATATAATTAGGCAAATGTTACTAACAAATAATAGGACATTGTACTCATCAGGTTGACAAAAATTAGTTGATCGACCAAAACCAGCAACAGCAACGTTATACTTATGCTTATCGTTAACATGTTTAAATATATCGTCCACAACATACTGATCCTTAACATTACCAGACGAAAAATGAATAATAAATGGAGGGAATGGATAACATGTTTGAGGAAATCGTTCAGCTTCTAGGGAAATATTCGTACCACTTGATTGCTGAACTAAAGCACAAGTACTAGTTGTGACTGCTGTTGTTATTTGTTGCCGATTGTTCAAATGACTATTAGCTGTATTTTGATTCACGTTTACATTTGCCGCAGAACGAAATTGTTTACGACGCGTGCCCACTATCAGAACATTTGCATCAGACATGAAATCGTTGAATTCATCCATATCATCACGAGAATGTGGACGACGTAAATTATGTTGAACTAACGATGGAAACATAGATTTATTTTGGTGATGTTATTGATGCAGCAACAGGAGCGAGTGGCAGAAAAGCAAAGAAAATATACTATACCTGTGGTGTGTAAGAAAAAATACAAAGACGTCCTAACTGTACTTGATCAATGTGACGTTCATTTCACTAAAGAAGTGTTCATAAAACCTTGAAATCTTCCCAACTTAGAGTGTGATTAGTATCAATAATGTGTTTAGAAAGAGCTGACTTGCAGCATGATTTTGGACTAATGCGAGTGGTAAGAACATCGGTGTCTCCTCACCTCCTCTGAGTGCAGTGCATCAATATAACAACTAAATTTATTAAACGATCTACTGACAAAACTGAAGAATAGTTTCAAACATATCATTACGGAAACGAAGTAAGCTAAGAATATGTCCGTCAAAGCCTAGTATCGCTCTTTTAAGGCATAATGCATAAGGATTTTGTTGGGACGCAGAGTGAGAGAATATCTCTAAAAATATTTTGCTTACCAATATTGCTTCTAATTGCTGTGGATTTATATTTTGTTCAAAATAATATTCAAGTCGTTCTGAAACTGAATTTTTTATTTGACCTTCTAAAGTGTCATCCGTCGTAGTTGCCGATAAGAAATGTTTCAAGGATCGGAGAACAATATAAGCTAATGGTGAAGTGGGCTAATTGTGACCAGATAATTACTCAGTGGCTGCAAAAAATGGTTCGAGAGCTTTTTTTATTGTTTCTAAGTTATACCATTCCTTATTAGACAGTTGTAAAACATCATGATATTGGTGAAATTCATCTAAAGCCGATTTAGACAATAATAAATGTTTTATCATGAAATAAGTTGAATTCCATCGAATACGAATGTCCAGTATTAGATCGATATTTACACTGTTTGTGTTAGCAATATCACGAAGCACATTTGATAATGTACGTGATGAACGAATCCTTTTGATATCACATCTACACTTTTGCAGCAAAGGACAAATACCATGTTCAATTTTATCACTTCATCAGTATCTGATTCTTCGCTCTGACCCTCTAAAGTATTCGAATATGGTATGCATTATCTATGGGGTATACTTCGTACGAAAAAGAGTTGATATGCCGTATGTGTATAACCTATTGCAAGTGAAAAGTCACCCTATAGTAAATGAATACTCACTCTCTATCTCGTCATCAATCGCCTCACCATCTAAGCTTTCTCATTCTTCGCATTGCTCGTCATCGATATCAGGTGAATCGTAGTCATCTTCTGAAATCGATGCATCATCTGTTTCTTCCCTAAAAATTCGAAAAACAATTCTTCGTCTATTTGTGATGCAAATGTCAGTTTTCTATATATCAGAGTATTTAACCTAGATGCCTGAGATGTTTTCTACGTAGAATTCCCCTTCTATCGTTGACAGGGTCTAAAAAACAGATGAGCTAATGTGATCTCTATGTAGAACTCACAAGTGATTCTATGGTGGACAGAAAAATTCATCCTTTAATACGTGGTTGCACTTTGCGTACAATTTTGGCAGTTTTAAGTACACTCCTACTTCGATCTTTTGAAAAGGAAACAAAACAATAGTACCCATTGATTGTGCTTACCTACTCTCATCTTTATCTTTCGTTGTTTGTTTCTTTGGCCATAAAGATAAACCGTCAGTATGCAAGCATATGTTTTATATGCTTGCATACTGACATGCACTTATCCATTAGTCCATTTTTTTTTTATAATTTTGTTGTAACCATATAGCATGTATAAAAAAGCATGTATTTTCCTAGGTTTTTGTTGAGCGTTTTATACACTATGCAACATAGACTTGTCTGCAAGCATAGCTGCGTTTGTTTGTTGAAGTTAAATACAACTATTTTTTTTTTTATAAAAAAACAAGAACAAGTTTAAAAA